CGAAGCATTCACTTTATCATTCATAAAAGAGAATTATAGTTTTCAGCTTTAAAGGAGAAAAAGTCTGTTTGAAGGCATTCAGTCTTGATCATAAAGTATTTGACCTTCTGGAGAACAAAGAGTGGAGAACAAATCCACTCTGCTCATTTCTGCAGTAAAAGAATTTTATTTAAAAAAGAACAGACAGCTTACAGGTTACCAAAGGAGGCCCAGAGACGAAAGACTGAAAGCCTGCAGCCTGCAGCCTGGCTCAGAGCCACCACCTGCAGGGCAGAGCTGCTCCTGTGAGGCCCTCGGGGCCCCACCCGCCCGGGGGCTGCCCCCGTAGCCAGGCGCTGGACATTACCACCAGACCTTCTGCCACTGTGCTTCAACACACTGGGTGTCTCTGCCTTCATCCTTGCCAGTTGGATTTCGTGCAGGTCTTGCCTCTCACCATCACCAGCTTCCAAACAAATCTGGAACAGATGGGCCTGATTGGTGGCCCTAGCTTCCATGGTTGCATTCTTGGTACATAGGAGACTGGGAGAATGAGGTCTGGCTTCCATACTAGGGGCAACTGCATTCGTAAAATGGACAATTACTTTAAACACAAGAACAAGTTTCAACCATATCTGCTACACACAAGCCAACAAATGATAGAATGGATGAAGGAAGGAAGGAAAGAAGGAAGGAAGGGAGGGAGGAAGGGAGGGAGGGAGGGTCTTCAGATCATTTTTCCCCATTTTACAAATTTAAGGAAATAAAGACACATACACTGGAAGTGATTTACCTCAAATCTACTCTTCCTCACGGTAAATAAGACTCTTTGAAACTTACAAGGATGATAAATACTGTGGGCATTCCTTCCTTACAGAAGAACCTTTAAGTAACTATGATATTCATTTTTGTTGAACCCAGACGTGGCCTCACAATTTTTCTCAACACAACCCGCTGAACAGCCACAACCACAAATGGTACAAGGAATGAAAATCCCTTGCCATCACTGCAGTGCACCAGGCTGGCATTTGCCCAACAAATTTTTGAATGAATTGATGAGTAGAATAAGGTGTAGTATAATTGACACCCTTGGAGTCCACAAAGGTTGCTTGTTATGTAGGCTATTTATTAGATGATCTCTTTGAGAATTGCTGTTTATTATGCCCAGTTGTCTCTATTTGAAGTACTGGCAAAGTCGTGATTTATTTACAACAGTAAATAAACATCAAGCTGCAACTCCGTGTCTAGCCAACAATAGCACCAATCTCCCCACTCATTCAGATGAAAATTTTTCTCTCTTGGCTACTGGCAAGTGTCAAAGTGGGGAGGATGATGGGTTGGGAGGTGTGTTTGCTGGCATAGAAGGCAATGATGTGCAGATGCTGTTGCGCCCTGGTTGTTTCCCTTTGGGTGTTGGTGGGTGCCAGCCCAGTTTCTGGCTTCTGTCTCTGCTGAAACCAGTGTGGGCTCTGCTGCACTGTGTTAATGTGCAGCTCATCCAAAGATGAAACAGCACTGGTTTCCTGCTTAGTGAAATCAGTGAGTAGAATGAAATTTGTGCAGAGTGCTAATAGTCTTCTTTTTTTAGTAAGTTATGCTTTTGGATGCAAGTGGCAGAAACTTATAGTCAAACTGGCTGAAAAAAATAAGAAAATTTATTGTCTTACTGACAAAAAAACTTTGAGAAGTAGATTTAGTTCCTGCGACTCAAACAAGGTCACCTCTGGACTTTGCCCTTGAACTTCACAAAATAGCTACTGGAAGCTCCAAATTCATAGTCTCCCGGGCTCAAATCCAGCGAGACTAGACCACACACTTCTCGGTAGCTTCTACATAGTACCATTATTCCCTGCAACTGGAACAACTCCTTGGGAACATTCCAGAACCAATGACTGGGGCTCAGGTGACTCAGTGTTCTGACTGGCCACATCTAGATCCCGTTTCATCCTGGCTCGGAGCTTGAAACCAACACTGTTACAGCCGACAACAGTGAGGGTCCACAGCAAGGGCATATTCAGACAGTGTCCAGCAGGAAGAGATGGAGAGAATTGAAGAGAATTTAATGAAGGGACCATGCATGAGGTACGGGCAATGATAAAGAAATCAGGACGAGGAATGGCTGGATACTAGTGCCACCTCTAGGGCAGAAGGGGCAAAGGGGGGAGCTGTTACTGGAACTGGGTGAGAGGTGCAGCCAGGGACATGAGCCACAGGCCGCAACTGTGAGCACATGTCAGGGTCAGAGCCGTTGCTGAAGTACAACCCAGAAGAGAGAGTAGAGGGACACAACTCCTCCACCCTTCCCTCCTCCCAACTGCTGTTTAATACATTGATTTAGATGCCAACGTTCTAAAATTGAGCTATTTAAAATAAATGATTGGTTTCCAACACCCCTGGGAAGATATGGCAGTGTCTGGTCATCTTTCCTCCACGGAAGGATTTCCTTGGAGAAGAACACTTGCCTCCCCTCTCTGTCCGCAGGCCCCTCCGCCCTCCGCAGGGCGCTCCCCACGCTGCCTCCCCTCCTGCTCTCAGAGGAGTGGGGGAGGGGTGCGCCGCCCGTGTGGTCCAGGTGAGGCCTGCTTTATTCATTTGCGTTGCCTGCCTCCCCTGCCAGCTTCTGTTGTGGCCCCCGAATGAGGAAGGAGATGCCACATAGCCTCTGCAGAGGGTCGGAGGCTGAGAGAGGAAGAGGCTCCCTCCCCACGGCAGAGAAAGAACCGCAGCAGTGGGAGTGAAAGGGGTGGTAGGGGACGCAGGGCGGCATTCCAGGAACATGGACTTCCGCTCATTGTTAAAAATGGATTATATTTTTTAAACTTTTTTATTGTTGTTCAAATACGGTTGTCTTTATTTTCTTGCCATCACTCCCCGCCCCCCCCCCCCCCCCCGGAACTCCGCCATCTCCACTTCCCACCCTCGATCCTACCCCGCTTTGGTTTTGTCCATGTGTCTTTTATACACGTTGCTGAAAACCCTCCCCCCCCGCCCCGCCCATTATCCCCTCCCACCTCCTCTGTGGTTACTGCCCGTTTGTTCTTAATTTCAATGTTAGAATGAATTTTAGATGCTTGACTTCTTACTTGGAACTGTCACGGAAAATGTTTAGACAATTGAATGCCCAGGGAAATGGCCAAGGGGTTCCTCTATAACCTTGGGAACTGGATTTTGTCCCTTTTAAGGAATTTTTCAATGTTCAGAGTTTAGAACATTTTTGAATCGGACAGTGTTGTCACATGACTCAACAGGTGTGAAAAGGACACAGTGGAAAGTCAGTTTCCTTCCACTTCTGTCCCTCATGCTTTCTCTTGCTGCCGGGAGGTGACCATTGTGCTGTCTGATGTGTCTTTCCAGAGATGACGTGCTATGTACAGTCCTGTGTTGTTCCTTCCTTGTGAGAGACACAGAGAGAGAGAGAGAGAGAACAAAGCCTTTGCAGATAAACTCTCAGAATCTTCAAAAATACAAATCCAAAGATCAGGTTAAATCCTGCAGCGGTCTCCTGTTGTAGCAGAGTATAGGAATAGACACTCACCTGTCCTCATCTCCTTTCCTGATTCCGTGCCCACACCTCACTTGTTCACTTCTCTTGTCACCCAGGTGTTCACTTACAGAGCTCCTCTGGGACGCCCAGACCAAGCTGAGTCCCTCCGCCCGCCCCGCTCCCTCTGTGTCTGCAGCCTTTAGTTGTAATGGTCCCTGCAGCAAGGTGGTTGCTTACTCAGTTGTCCGTCTTCCCAGCCAGGCTATAAGAGGAGAGAGACTCGCCTGTCTTCGTGCACCAATACATCCCCAGCATTTAGCACATGCCAGGCACAGGTGAGACACTAGTCGTCGAACCAACGAATGAGGCTCACGAGAAAGGGGAAAAAGATCATAGATCTGGCTACTCGCATCCTATCCCATTTCTTGGTACAAATGCTGGTTGCGGCTGAGTATCTTGTTTTCTCAGAAGCAAGAAACCATTTTTATGATAAAAATCGAGATTCTAAATGTCCATTTTCTGGTATTTAAAGATAAGTCACCCTGTATTATGTGAAATAGGTTGCCCTGTATTAAGATCAAATAAGTATTATTTGCTCTGTTCACTGGTTAGCTCTGAGAAGCTCTAACTTTCTCCATTCTCTCACAAACAAATCTCAATTAAGCAGCTACTAAACTGATCATAATTTTCTGTGCCCAGAAAAATAAACCAACAGATGTTTGGAAAGGGCATTCAAGGAAATAAAAAACTACTTATAGGAATACAATGGAGCCAAAAATTTACTGCCCCCAAACCAATTTTATTTAGCAACTGTTAAGGCAATAGTCCCAAATGGAGTCCCTTATGTTAAGCCCCATGTTATCAAACCAAGACTTAATTACAATTTTGGCTGCCCCAGAAGTAGAATCTACACCAGTCAGTCAGGGATTCCCTAACCAGCTGCAGTGAGGGCACCTGCCTGATGGGCCTCTGCTATACCCTCGCAATAACGAACCTGCTTTTCCACCAAGTTTATTTTCCCTATTCTCACTCCCTTCTGCCTATAAGTCTGTGGTTTTGTACAGCTCCCTGGAGTTCTTTTCTATCTTCTAGACTGAATGTTGCCCAATAAGAATTGATTTTTGCTCAAATAAACTCATAAAAATATTAATTTGCCTCAGTTTTTTAAAAATCCTCACCTGAGGATATGTTTATTCATTTTAGAGAGAGAGGAAGGGAGGGAAAGAGACAAACATTGATCAGTTGTCTCCTGAACAAGCCCTGAGCAGGGATTGAACCCTGTAACCCAGGCCTGTGCCCTGACTGGAACTGAACCCGCAACATTCTGGTGAACAGGATGATGCTCCAACCAGCTGAGCCACCCAGACACAAGTACCCATTCAGCCCGTGGAACTCTCTGCTTTCCTGCTACCTTGGTTGGTGGTTGGTAAGTCCCTCTGGGATCCTAACTTTGTGGCATTAGTGTCATGAGCTTGCAGACTTTATCTGAGCTTTTCTTTTACCGAACTAGGTCCAGAAACCAAAGGTATTGGACTGGGTCCAGCTGAGAAACTAGACCACATCAGGATTGGGCTTGACTTAGAAACTGGACTGCCGGCGTGAGGATGCAGGTAAGTGAAATTTTGTTTTAAGGCTGAACAAGAAGGTTAACTTTACCAAAGATAATCTGAATTACAGTGGCCACAGCTGAGAACAGTTAACCTGGATAAGCTGATCCATTTCCAAGGCACTCTAGATGGGTCTTCATTAGAAGAATGAGTGGGGAAGGGCGGGGCATTTGGGATATTTGGAGTTGAGTGGGACAGGAATGGAGGGCTGGAGAAAGTCTTGTCTGCAGCACTGGCCCCTAAGGGGAATGGCAGGAAGCACATTCTATAGCATCCATCTTGACTTCTGGTGTGTTTTCTGCGGGTTTTGGTATATAAGGGGACCTAATTCAGCAGGTGGATTGAGGCAGTGACCTAATTCAGCAGGTGGATTGACCCCAGGAAGGTATTGCTGGCAGATGGTAAGTTGTGGCATGGTTCTGAATGATAACTTTATTCACAGAAAATCCATTTGTGGTAGAGGAAGAGGAGCAGTGTCTAGCCATTGGGGAGGGGCCTGGGAGTATGGAGTCAGATTTTAAAAGGGATCCAGTTCCAGCAAGATGGCTGAGAGGTGAGTTGCAGTTGTAAGACCAGGTCACTGGGGAGTGGCAAGCGGGACCCTGTGCCTCAGTGGGACCATGAGGCATCAAGAAAGCCATGAATGTCTTGGTGGGGTGAAGATGTCTGTTATACACAATACTTGGATAACATTTTTATTTGAAAGTTTCATAATTTGTGTTTTAGAGTCAAGAAACAACCCATGAGTATCCACATGTCCAAAGCAAAAAAAGTGTTTTATCAGAATCCCATAGTCCAGTTGTCATGTGCTGGGTCTCTTTGTGTCCCTCCAGTCTCATTTCTTATCAATTTTCTCCCTCCCCACTCTCCTAACCCCTGACCCCACACCCTCAGAGGGCTACAGCAAACAGTTTGCAGACCTCCAGCCTCCCTGAAATGCCCTTGCCTTTTAACTGCCCTTAGATGGGCCGATGGACGGCTGGCCAATACCACCACTTCCCATCCAAGCAGAGTTGATTCCTCCCATCTTTCTCCTACTACTCGTATCTCAGTTAGTTTATTTACAACTAGGGCTCAATTTCAGCCATTATGTACCAGATTGGCTGCACCAGTTGCAAAATTATTGAAATACTTCTCTGCCCACTGATAAAAAGCTGCTGTCCAACACTTCCATGTGCCTCCTCCCCTGATTCTCGCCACCCCAGGATATTGGAGGATTGATGGTGGGAGCAGCGGGACCCTTGCCATGATATTCTCTTGCTCTTACTTTGGGAATCCCCAAGCGTGGATCAGAACTCCTGGGTTCAAGTCCCATCTCTGATTTGTGAATTTTTTAAAGATTTCATTTATTTATTCTTAGAGAGAGGAATAAGAGAGGGAGAGAAACACTGATGTGTGAGAGAAACATCAGTCCACTGTGTCTCACACACACTGAGACCAGGGGCCAGGTCTGCAACCCAGGCATGGGTCCTGACAGGGAATCAAACCACCAACCTTTCACTTTGCAGGACGACATCCAACCAACTGAGTTACAGGGCTCAGGGATGTTGTGGTAATTTTGAATAAAACATTAATCTGAGCAAGGACACTAAGAAAATCCAGATGAAGGAAGCAAGGTCTGTCCAGCACCAATGAACCACTTGGGCTGACAGACATTGTTGCCAGCCAACCCGATCGCACCCAAGGGCCAAGGATGGAGCTGAGAGGTGGGGCCTCATTTCCTAAAGCCAATGCAGTGGCCTAATTGGTGCCAGGTTTCCTATCTGATTTCAGTTGTCTAAATCTCTCAGGGCACATGATTAAAGCACCATTTTCATTTGCCTTTGGTTTTTCCGGAAAGCTTCTGAATGGGTGAGTGAGCTTGAAAGCTGCAAAATCTTCTGAGAATCCGTGTTTCCTGGAAGTTCTTAAAAGCCCAGGCAATATTCCCTGGAAAATGTGAAGTTCCTGGGATTTATTAGGAGCTTAAACTTTTGGTCAAAGTTAAATATCTAGAAAAATGTTCCTGGGAAGTATCGTCGACACCTTCTTAATTGGCTGCCTTGGCTCCATCTCAAGGCTGTGGTTGGTATTTCAGATGCTAGAGCAGCACCAGCCAGGATCACGGTCCCCTTCTGGGATGGAAGATAAGCAAGAACCTTGGCCTGTGTTTCCTAGTCAAGAAATAAAAGGAGCCTGGCTGAGGAAGTTGCATAAATCATATTTACATTAGCATTGGAAAGTACATTTCTCCCCACGAGGCTCCATCCCTTCAAGGGCTTCCCCTTTCCTCCTGCCTCCCTTTCTGTCTCCATTGCCACAGTCAGAGTGGGAGGTGAGATGAAAACCTGACTCTCTGTGGATGCACTCCAGGGATCAAGGTCTAGGCCCAGAGAAGCCCCTGTGTGTTTGCATCCAGAAGTGCAAGAGTGTGGATCACAGGGCCCAGGTAGAAAGAACAGGGGTGCTCCCCCCCCATATCTCCTCTCAACTCACGCTGGGAGGCACTAGGGTCTGTCAGCAGGTCTGTAAGCACAAGGGGTGGGCCCTGTTCTAAAACTGTAGTTGGCACTCTTTCCCCTTCCTACTACTTCCTTTCATCCCCTGGTCTTCCTGCCCTCGAAATGAACAGGACAGTGTAGAAAACAGGCCATCTTTCACCAGAAAGCAAGCTCTCAGTTTTCAAGATGTGGTCACCAATGTTAAACAGCCTTTGTTTTCAAAAACTAGGGACCCAGTTCAATGCACAGGACATTGCTATGCAAAATATGAAGAGGCTGCAGAATGAAATACCATTTGTTCTAAAGAGCACTATCACAGCCCCTGGCTGTTTACTGGGGGGAAAACCCACCATCTGCAGATGGTTTAGCAACACATTTACACCGTTTCCATGTGTTAGTAATGCCGTTCTAGGAATGAATCTAATCAAAGTGCTATTTTAACAAGGAAGATGTTCTTACTTAAACCCCAAAAACCATTTCAGTTCTGTCTATATTTTTAAAAAATCAAAATTCAGCTGACTTCTTGTGATATGCCATTTAGACATTATAGAAATAATTGTGTGTTAAAATAGTAGTGACACTAATGGGTTATCAATGAATATCATAAGACATCAATCTGGTAATATGACAGAACCTCAGAGAGGAAATATTCACAATGTAAATGTTAATAATGCTCCACTTTTTTTCTTCCACTTAATCAGTTGAAATCCAAACTGCTTTAGAGCCATAAATTTTTCAGTTTATATGCTAGTCAGACAATCAGAGAAAGAACTTCCAAAGTTTTATTTTAGATTATGTCTATGCACAAAACTAATTTGACTAAGTTCAATTCATAATTTGATCAAAACTTCAGTTTAAGTAAATCCTAATGTCATTCAAACTCCATTCCAGTGGTGAGGAAGGGTGTCAAATAGAGACACGTTATCAGAACAAAACACCAGCTGTCCACGGGAGACAACAGGGTGTAGTGGTTGAGAGCTCAGGCCTTCGATTTCACGGCCCTGGATCCTGCTCCACCTCTGCCACTTATTAGCTGACTCAGCCTGAACAAATTACTTAACCATGCTCGGCCTCATCATCATAAAATGGCAACAGCAAGAGTACTTAAGTCCTAGTGATGTTGTGAGGACTAAAGGTAAAAGTGCATCTAAATGCTTATCAAAATTACTGGCACATAAAAAGCCTTCTATAAATATCAACTATTATTGTTATTATAGATTGGTTTCACAAAGTGTCCTATCAATGAAATCCTTCAAAATTTGATTCTGCAACTGGCTATTGGAAGCTGGAATCTGCCTCTTGGATGGCCATGGCCATTGGCTCCCCACCAGTTCCCATGACTCCATTAGTGAGCCCCTGACTGTGCCAGTTCCCACAGGGAGAAAGCCAAGGAACTGGAAGGATGGTATTGGTATTAGAGACAGTAACTCATTGTGAGTCAGGAAGGGACATTATCTCTCAAATCATTAGTGAATCAAAACCCCGGCCAAAGTATCAAGCCTTCCAGGGAAAGGCGTCATCAGCATACAGAAGGTGGGTGACAGCAAATCTCTTCGGATCTAGGAACATCAGCCCCAATCATCACACGTTGTCCCTCAGTGCTTATCATGCCATGACTGGGTTCGGTCATTTGTAGTCCTTTAAAACACAAAGCCAAGAGGCCTCAGTGACTGTGGGCAGCTACAGTTCTGCAGGTGCACTGTCCACCGTGAGACCTCATGTGCACAGGTGGGCCTTGGGCACAGGCATGTGTTCATCCCTCTTTTCAAAGCCCCGACTTTCTGCAGCAGCAGCACATATCACTTTGGACATTGATTAAGTAGAATAGACAAGACTATCTTACTTATTTAGAAAAGACAATCATTTTTACCTGGATATAACTAAAAATGCCCAGTATCCTGAGGATTAAATCACCATTACTTGCTTGTAGGAAGGCAGGTAAGAAAGTATACTCTTTTTCAACTCCCAAAAGGCAAACACAAGTACTTAATGTGAACAGGGAGAAGAACGATGTCTTTATTGTGACCCCATATCTAAATTGTCACAGGTTCATATAATCTACATGCACAATTCAGAGACAGGTAAATGTTCCATGGGCAGGAATTCTACAGCATATTTAACATCTAACACAGTACTTAGAACATAGTATATATTCGTGAATATTGAATAAATGAATGTATATGAGCGCTCTCACTTTTGTGCCTCTGTCAGAAATCTCTACCTTTGTCCACTCGGTAAAAATATGTGCTCAGCTGCCATTCATTCTGTGAAATCATTTCTGGGACAGAAACCTTTCCTCTGCTCCCATAGTATCCATTACATCCATGCCAAGGTTCCACTCTGGCTAGTTCAAGTAGAAAGAGACTTGCTAAAGGATAGGGGTGACTCAGAATGTTGGAGAGGGACAGAAAACCAGCTCAATGCTACCATGCTGGGAGTAACAGCCAGGAAAGATCCTGACCACACTACTTGCTTGAGACAGGAGACTTAGCAGCTGCTTCTGCCACTCAGCACTGATCACCC